GTGATAAATCTGGCGTCAAGGCCACAATTTGGGTCAGGCAGAACTCGTGAATTGTTTCTACTGTTTTTTAATGTCTCGCTGGTATATATTCCTCTGATGGAAACTCCAAAACAGCCAAATTGATCCTTTATGCCAAAAGTCGAGCTCACAGCTTCTCCAAGATTATTCTACCATTCATGAGTGCTGCCAGTGAGTTCACAGTCCTGATAACAGCCTTCTCCATTTCCCTGCAGCAGCTCTCCAAATTCAGTCTGAGCACTGTCGAGCTTCGACACATCCACACAAATTTGTAGACAATCCAAGATTTCACCAACCCAAACAGTAGGATCTAGTTGCCATCATGAATCCAATTTGTTTCTGTTGAGGTAAGAGGGTCCTCCTTGAAATCTATCGATTTTGTCGAGAGACCAGCTGATCCTTCCAATTAAGAGGTATGCAGAAAAAAATAGGCTTTTTAAGGGTTCACAGGACAAAAGAATGCAAGCAGAGAAGCAGGGGAGGTATGGAGCGCCAGGAAACACGTCTGTCTTCACCGGAGTACAGAGGGAAAAAAAAAACATTTCCACTTGCAGTTTGATGTGTGGCTCCATCTAGGTGTAATTCAAGTCTCCATAGAAAGTGGGTCGCAAATTCATTATTCAAGAAGGTCTCCATTGCATATTAAAAATATATGTTTACCCCTTATGATGAAAAAAATGGATAGAAACAGTGTTCCCTTGCCTGGACGTGGGTCACCGGGGCCCCACTCTGGAGCCGGGCATGGATGTGGGGCACGCTGGCGAGCACATGGTGACCGGGCTTTTACCCATTGAGCCCTGCTGGGCACAGCCAAAGACGTGGATCTCCCTTCTCATGTGCTCACCACCTGTGGGAGGGGCCAAATGGGTCAGGTGCAATGTGGGATTGTTGGTGGATGAGAGTGGGGACACTGGCGGTCTGATCCTCGGCTACAAAAGCTGGTTATTGGGAATGTTAGAATGTTGCCTCTATGGTGGAGAAGGAGCCTGAGCTGGTGTGTGAGGTTGAGAGGTTTCGACTAAAAATAGTCAGACTCACCTCAACGCATGGCTCTGGCTCTGTAACCAGTTTCCTTGAGAGGGGTTGGACACTCTTCCACTCTGGATTTGCATTGGTGAGAGGTGCCAAGCGAGAGTGGGCATACTTGTTGCCACCCATCTTGATGCATGTATAATAATAATAATAATAATAATAATAATAATAATAATAATAATAATAAT